CCCTTTATGTTTAAACAGAGGTACCAAAGAAACAGTCAAAATTTAAACACTATAAAGAGTTCGATGTAGGCCATTCATCTTTTACTATTTATGTTGACAAGTGCTTCTTTTGCAGAAGAATATATTTTAATCAACCATGAAATTATTGACGAGTATTTAACAAAATATGCATACGTTTTGAAAATCTGGAAAACCTGGCAAGAAATCCTTACTGTGTTAGCACTTTTATCGTGAGATAATCCTTCATCCAGTGTGCTTTCCTGCCATTTTACTGTGCACTTAATGGCGTTGGAATAATGGCTATGTCATTAGTCTCGAGAGCGGCGAAATCTATGCATTCAATCTCTTGTTGAGCAAAATATTAAATATTCTCGAAGATGAGATACATGTAGCAGCAACAAGCAGTACTAGCTAGAATCAGACTTATGTATATTTCTGTTTTACAGAAAAACGTTTTGTTTTATAATTCACAACTGAGTGTTCAAGCTGCAGAATCAACTTGGTTCTCTTGACTATAGCTTGGTTTCCATCACTTCCTGTTCAAACGCCTGTTGAGGGTCACTAGGATCTGCTCTTAATGTTCTTAGCTGTGTCGCCGGTGTCGAAGCCAGATTCATGTTATTTCTACTTTTAATATCTATTACGTTTATCACCGCTTGCCTTCCAAAACAACACGAAACCAGAGTTCCTCTAAATTCAGGAATTCTTAATGCGTACACAACTGGATTTACAATTAAAGGAGTTGGAATAATTCATTATATATGATGACAAGCAAAAAATATCTCCAAGGTATCGAGACACCTAGTGTGTCCAGACCAATCAACAAAACAAGAGTAGACACAAACAGCAAGGTCCTTGTTAAGCGTTTGTTTTGCGAGGCTCTGTTTTGTTATTGTGATGTGCCACTCCGGTGTTGAAACTTTCTGCAAATGCTTACGTTAGGACAGGATATGATTACTGTAAAAGTTAAAGTGTATGATGCCAAAACATACAGAGAATATTTGTATAAACCTGAGAGATTGAGTGTTGCGTAGACAGAGGCATAAAGGAAAGATAACATCCAAACCGGAAAAATAACAAGGCGGTATGTCCGCACTGTTAGCTTTCAGTGATTTAAAGGGCAAATATATGGTGTAAACTCTTTCGGCAAATATGGAGATTGAAGAAGTTAAAGAAGCAACAGTCAAAATGGTATCACTGGTAGCGAAGAAATAATCTTAAAGCACGCGTTTTTTTGCTGTCCCAAGCTGAAAAGTGTAATCTCCGATTAGGAAAAGATAGCTGGGCAGAGACAGCGCTCCAATCATGACGTCACCAAACGCCATATTGACGGACTAGAAATAAGCTTTTCTTACGAAGATTCTTGTTAAGTACAAAGAGAAGAATGCTGAGCAAGTTTCATACGGTAATGAAGATGGATATTAAGATCAACACACTGCACCATGCGATGCTTTCTGCCTCACGAGCAACAAGGATTGATGAACCAGTTGCATTCTCCGAGCTGCTGTTAGGAGCTGCCGATATGCTGTTCATGTTAAATTAATGATGTAAATTTGATGTGTGGCTATACTGAAAAAGAAGTGTAGGAAGAAAAGCACTTCACTGTAAATTATATAACTTTTTCTTTTGAAAGAGGGCAATCCTCGATTATGAACCCCATCTGAGCACCGACTGAGTAAATGTAAATAGGTAGAGTCACAGTTCCTATCATCAGGTCAGCAAACGCTATTATGATATTAATGATGCAAACAGAACAATGGTGAGCAAGTTTCCCGCGACAGTAAACACAAAGGACAAAATAAAAGTGGTTCAGAATGCAATGCCTTCTCCGTTGGAAGAACAAGTCGCGTTCTCTGAGGTTATATTGTTACCTGCAGTTTTGCTCTTTATATTTTAGTTTTCATGCACTGAACGGTTTTGAAACATGTGTGGTACAAGCATGACGCTGCAAAAAGTGAACACGGGCGCACTTTCGCTTCCTTTATTTTAACGACTAGAATTCGATCTGACTCGATCTGGGTTGACTTGACTCATAATCTTATTTATGCCTGTTCGGTTTTTCTCAGAAAGTTTGCATAATAAATTAATTAATTTTTATTCGGTTCTTTTTTATGCCGAAATTTTTCTATATTAGCGGAGCTCCAGCGGCCCGAAGGGCCGCTGAAAGGAGCCCCATTCCCTAGCAAATTTGGTAACTCATCAAACCGAGAAGATTTGGTTATGACGTCACCGTACGAGCGAGCGAACGAGCGAACGCCGTCCGTACAGACTCTGAGGGAGAGGGAGAGGAGCCTCGCGGTAACGCAAACTGGGGAACCGAGGAATGCCATGTTTTTGGCGGGATTTTTATAGAAAAGAAAACTCATTTCTATTTGTCATGTCAACAAATGATAGCGGAGGTTGATTTAAAGTTTTTAAGATGGGGTTGCACTGAAGCAAAAAACAGAAACAGAAAGCAAGAATTAACAGGCAAAGAAGTAGCGAAGGAGATCGTGAAAGGGAGCGGGCTAGCGCTGGGGAAGGAGGCGAAACAGTACTGAACAATGCCGTGAATTATAGTGGGTCAAGGACTAGAAAAAGGGGATGAAATAATACCGAACAATGCCGTGAAGCAAAGCTAACAAGGACTATAGAAAGGAGACGAAATACCCGATGACTACAGAACCTCTCAAGTTAATTCAGTTCACGCGTCGAAATGTGTGTTTAGAGTAATTACAAAACAGAAAACACAGCGGAAAAAAGTGGTTGATCTATCGAAAAGATTAGATCAGTTCGGTTCAGTTTTCACAACTTTTGCTGCAAGTTTCTGCCTGGAAGATTTACACTGGCCGAAGTGAATTGCCAACTTGAGGTAAGTGACTTTTGTTGTGGCGTTTCCTATGGAAATTATGAAGTTCAAGCTTATTTAAGCTTAGAATCCTTTTTAAAGTCTTCCTTATTTGAAGCCATGCTGTGAGGCATTTTATAAATTACATAGTTTTAATTTCGCTCATAACAATAGCACGTAAGTGGCTTTGTGGAGGTTGTTGTGAGTTACATATTGTAAACAAATCAAGTCTTGTCTCGATTTTCGTCGTCAACTTCCAATTATACCCTCACGTTTTTTTAAAAAAAACTGTATTTGTAAAGACTGCTGGGCGCGTTTTGAAGTTTTCTCTGTGTTTAGTTGGCACAACCGCTTCCTAGATTACAAAATTTCTTAAACCAAGATAGGTCAACAAACCATTTTAAGCCGAAGCGAACAGGTTTTGCTAAATTTACTTTTGACGTTCCAATGCGAACATTTACATCTTGCGATTACAAAGTATTTCCTCGTTTAGTTAGTTCAGTTTATTCGGTTTGGCGAAATGCTTGGGGGAATTTCCAGGTGAATTTGGTTGAAGACTGGTAAAGCTACCGCCGATTAAATGAATGCAAAGCTAAATAAAGCCGTCGGCAAAAATACACACTGTGATATTCAGATCTATGCTAAAGCGTGAATAATTGTTAAACTTCAACATTGCAAGCTTAAACGAATTTTCTTCATATATAAATATAACAAATGTATGTAAAAGATATTTTTATGACAGAGAACTGGACAGGGCAAGAACTTCTCCTTCTTTTGTAAATATATTAATTCCTCTCAGCCCTGTCAAAATGTCTGAGGAACCTTCATTTTTGCAACCTAGAGTCCATTATTTTCCACCATACCTGACACAGAAGCTCACCAAATCCTAACAAATAACTAACATGGGTCTATCTCTGACCTTTTATTAGTTTGTACTTCATGATTGCATATTCTGTTATCCTGCCTTAAGTGCTAGAAACAATTTTGACAGAGCCGTTTCAACAGTTTCACTTAAATTGATTTCCAGTTAAACAGCACTACACGTAGCAGTGTTATAATGAGTGTGAACTTTATGGAGGGTTTTAAAGGTTTATTATTATTATTATTTTATGATAACAGAAGACAACAAAATATACATGTGTATACATTATAACCTGATGTTGGTGTTGGTTGTGAATCGCAATTTATATTAGTCATCCTATTACAGGTAAAGAGAAAAAGTTCAGAAAGTTCAGAACGTCTCTTTCACCAGCACACCTGCATTCTACAGGTGCGATCATTGAGTCGTTATACATATGTAGATACATAAACTGGTTAAACAGGGACCGAAAATGGACAAATTTTGATTGAAAAAAACACACACAGAGAAATGTAAAGTTATGAACTTAACATTAAAATCTGACATTTGAACTCCTCCTTTGCTAAAGTTAGTCACCAGTTAATTGTTATCACTCCCTGTGAATTCATAGAGAATTACCACCTAATGTGGAAGTCCTGTCTTCAAGTGAGGGAAAATGACACTGCAAAAAGTTACAAAAATAGTTACAACGAAATTAAAAAGAATTTTGAATGTCGATCATGACTTGGTGTAAATTGTACATCATGTAAAGGTATGTGGTGAGTG